ACACATACACACACCTATATATACACCCTCACCCCTGTTAAGTTAGTAATATTGTTCTGTCATTCAATGCGAAAATGTGTTTTACTTTGTAATATCTTGTATAATTAGTATGCAAGGTGTAGTCTATATATTCACTACAATCATGATGCTACAATGTTTTACAGATGCATTATAGATAACCATTTTTAGGTTGAGAACAGCACACAATCCTTCAGTGTTTTAGATGTTTTATAAAATTTGTCTGTTCGTCAGTTGACTCTTTTGTATGTGAGTATATACCATCCTCATTAGTTTTCGAATACTAATAGCAATAAAGTATTTTAAATTCTCTCTGAAAATCAAGGAAAAGGGTAGAGAGGTAGGAATAATACTTAACTCCTGGGTGCCTGCCATCCTTGAAGCCATCTATGTTGTAAGCTTAATCAACTAAAATTGCAATGAACATGGCTTGTGTATATTCTGCCATCCCAGCAAAATGGGTTAAGACATAGGCTGTGAAGTATACCAAAATTAGAGCAATACAAAAGAGGGTTATTTCTTTTTCTTATGGCAATGTATTTATATGGAAAGTTCATGTTAAGATCTGATATTTCAGGTAACATTTATGAAGCATGGCGTCTGTTGTCACAGTTGGAGAAGGCACCACCAAAAGCAAGAATACCCCCAAATTACCATATATCGGAAGCAGCACCACTGTATGGGCTTAGCAGTAAGTCTTCATTGAATTAACCCTTAGGAGTGCACTTACTACAGTAGTATTCCCTGGAAGTGTCAGAATCACGACAAATACTTTTTTGGTATTTTCAGAAATTTGCCACATTTCTACTACCCTGAAATTTGTATTCATAAAATTTATGAGGTCAAGGATCCAGATTTTGTATATTAATAAAAGAAATGTAAAATAGATATTTTCAAAACAAGAGCAGCCTTTTTCTTTTCTTTTATCAACTGAAGTAGTAAGTATCATACGGGGTGAAAGATAACTAGCTATTTATCATATTTATTTTATGAATTGAACTGATTTTATATAATTGCATTTTATTACACAGTATAACCTGTTCTGTTCTTGTACACTGAACCAGTTATATAATTGGCACAAATTTTCTTTCTTCGTTGCACTTTCAGGATTGTAAATGTTTGTATTTAGGGATTCAGATGCACTCTCTTTCATACTTAATGTTTCTGTTCAACTTTTGACCCATTTTTTGAAACGATGAAGCACATTGTACCCCTTTCAGCAGATCTGAACCTGAGCTGCTGGCTGGGTGGTGGCAGTGGAGGGTCATCCCCCCTGCCCTCCCCCACCGCCACGCCCGGCCCCCAGGGAGTACCCAACCCTATCTGGAACCAGGCGCCGGCCACTAACAGCTCTTTGCCTCCTCACTTGGCTAGATCTCAGTACAATGCCTTCATGGTAGATCCAAGTAAGTATAGGATGGAAAATATGATTTTTTGCATCTGTGTTATAAACTTGCATTTCACACGCACATTCTGCATCTCAATCTCGCCCACAATCTTATTCTTTAACTTTCAGTAAAATATAACACATCAAATGCACAAAATTTATTGAGTCCTACATCTGCTCTAAGTCCTCAGATCAGGCTACCCAAAAATTTTCCTAAATTTACATGCCATATATATTTATCAATTTCCAACAGGCAATTACTATGCCGCCAACTTACTGCTTCGCACTGGCGGAATTAATGGGTGTAACAACAACTGCATCTTGCCAAACTCGTCTCAAGGTGTTGGTGCCAAAACAGCATTGAATATCAATGCGGTTAGCAATGGAATCAGTGGGTTAAAAATAGCTTGCAACGGTAAGATTTTTGTCTCTATGTAGTGATATGTAGGAATACATTGATCTTGCCAGTAGTACCTTCTGTGGACTCTAGTTAAGAGAGAGAGAGAAAAATTTAGGGCAAATATTCTTGAAAAGATTAAATTGGATTCCTGCGTGTCATCAAAGAATAGATGATAGAATTAATTTTCATTAAATCTTTCTCTCTTTCTCTCACCCACTCTAAAAATAAGTATTATTTTAATATATTGCACTACTGAATAATTGATTTTACTTGAATTTAAACTTGAAGTTTGGGTTTTCACCTAGACCGTCTTTTTCAATCTTTAAAAAAAAAGTTGGCCCTGCTTTGAAGCCTTTTATTTGAAGTAAGGGCCCCCTGCTATGCAGCCTTTTGAGGTAAAGGGGCCCCAGTTTAGGTCCCTAGCTGTAAATCCGGGGTAAAAAATATTGATCATGGGTATGAATGAAATAGTGTGTGGCTCTGTCTGAGGGTACATTACATCATTGGCATAGGACTTGTAGGATAATCTGGCCTTGTATGTATGTGAAGGAGATATATTAAAAATTGGTTTGTATAAACCTTAGTCTCATTGTATATGATTGAGTTTTGTATTTAAAGGAAACCAGCTTAACACGTCATTTTACAGATGCTTCCTGTGGAACAAGCAGCAACAGTGGGAGTTCTTTGTCATCACCAACTCCCTCCCCGCGCAACCCATCACCGGAGCAGATGGTTTCCTGCCACATGGGCACCCCATCACAGCAGACCAATTGTAACGAAGCAGAGCAGTCTTCTTCCAGTGATATAAATGGTAATTTCCTTGAAATATGGGAGGAATAAAATTTGATATCTTGTAATGCAAATGTTATTGCCTGAAAAATAAGTTAAGATTATTTTAGTATAATTTGCTCTTGTTCTAGCTATTTCTGCATTACTGACTGACTTTGATCGCCGTGCTCCAGGATGTGAGAAAAAGCAAATTGAAATGGCAGCACAGAAATTGACCTTGTCAGATTACAGCTCAAAGAAAGTGCAGGCTGCTAAAGGTATATTATTCGTGATGAATCAGTTTTGTCATTGATTTAATTGAATGACTATTGATATCAGTTTATAAAATTGATAATTGATATTTTTCGAGTTGTGGTATGTCTTGTCTTATAAACTACGGCTATACAATGACTAAAAATTGATTCTGTAAGGTAAAGGACTGTAGAAATAATTTTTCTCTGAGTAACAAAATTAGTTTGCGAAGTGAGTGATGCTTAAGAACATCTTGCTTTTTCTTACTTTTGCAGCAATGAAGGAACAAGTCAGCTCAAACCCCCGTACTCCAACCTCCAATTGGTCAGGTTATGGCTTTAGTAAGTCTCTCCCAGGCTACATTATACGGCAGAAGATGCAAGAAAGCCGCCAGATGAAAGCAGCTCATGTAAGAAGATTTACTAGTTGTACTAAATGTGATGTGTTTTGATATGCAGATGAATGGGACTTTAAGTACAGTATATATTTTAGCATGATAGTGGTTTTAAGTGTGCATATTTTTATATATATTTTGTTTGAGTACAGATATATGTATTAGCATGTTCATGTACATATAGAATTGTTTAAACAATTATCCTGAAAGGACTTAAATTCCCCACGCACTCATTACTGTATTATACATGTAGAGAGTTGTATAAATGTACTTACAGGTTTAGATATGGATATGATATATGTTTGTAGATCTGTAAATTTCTCCCATCAGAATTTTTTTTAACTGCTTTTAGAATCATCCAAAATGTTTTGGACAAGAGCAGTCTTCTTAAACAGATTTATTGACAGATGGTATATTGTTTGTTATCAGTAATGATGCATATTTATTATACTCAGAAGGGAACCTCTAATGATGATTGGGAAACTTGGCATCAGCAGCAAGACGTTTCGACAACTGAAATGCCGCCACCTCAAAATCTTCAAAATATTCAGTATCCAAGTAGAATGACAAAGGTATGGAGTTAGATGTTTTGTCATGCCTGTAAGCAATATCCAAGACTAAAAATAAAAAATATATGTATATCTATGTATCATACTTTATATATTTGCATGCTGTATAGGATTTTAAATCTTTGTATGTAAGAACCAAATTTGTTTATAATATAGAGTTTGGTGTAACCCAGAATACAATACCATCAACTTTTCAATGTCAATTTCAGGTGGATTTAGGCAGCAGTATTGACCACATGTCAGCACACCGATCTCCGGTCACTCTCTCCGCTAGTAACTACATGGACTGTGTTCTGCCAAGGCCACGCGAGGCTCGGTCTCCTACAGCTATACAAAATATCACTTCTGTGCTTTGTGATGTCCAGTTGGAGCAGTATATTGGTTAGTTTGTGGTTTTAATGGAAACCGTGCTTGAATATACTGCAATTATTTGTGTTTGATGGAAACAGTGCTTTATAGTTGTCAATATACTGTAATTATTTGCGCACTTGTACATATGTAATCGTGTTCTGTAACTTCTTCCGTCACAGATGTATTTGCGGCTCAAGATGTTGATCTCCCAATGTTCTTGACTCTCGATGACGCTGACCTCAAGGAGCTAGGAATAAAGATATTTGGACATCGCAAGAAAATTCTTATGGCAATTAAAGGTTTGTGTTTTTGCCTCTCTTATCCCCCTCTCTCTCTCTTCTCTTTTCTTTTTTCTCTTTCTCTCTCTCTTGTACATGCGTGCGTATGTATATATTTGTATGTGTATGTGTGTGTATGTGCATATGTATGTAATTTATAATTGGGAATGCACTCTTACATTCGCACATATTTGTCCTAAGCTAACCATGCATTGGGCCATATACATGTCTCATTAATTATCTTAACCCATTGCCGCTGGGGAAAATGCTGTGCCTATCTTCTATACTTTTTTGTTAAATGTCTGCCCATAGATGGCTCTGCTAGCGCCTGATATGAAATGGCAGGAAAAAACGTATTTCTCACTAGTGCCATGAATATCGATGGTGTTATTTTTATTATAAACATTATAATGTTTATAATGTTTTTTAACATTAGTAACATCAAAATAACGTAAATATTTTGTAAATCATAGAAAAGGGTGAACGGGCGAGACAGGCGGTACTCGAAACTGGCTCATTGGTGATTTAGTACAAGTCTAGCCATCTGTGTGTGAAAACAATCCAACAAGTAATCTCGCAGTGGGCATGGTGTGGCATGCCCGTCGGCAATGGGTTAATATCCCTCACTGAGTTAAAAATTGCCTTGACTGTAGATGTGCAAGTTTTTAAAAATGGTTTTGCACTTTTCAGATTTATCTTCAAGAAAACCCTTTTCTCATGGAAACATAAGAACTGGAATTGACTGCAGTTCTAGGAGGGACAACGTGACTACAACCTGGGAATAAAGATTTTCTAAATTATGAAATGAAATGGAAAAGGCAACGGAAGGATTGACATATGGAAAGAGAGATTTTGCTTTGCATTTTCTGTAAGATTTATTATGTGTATTTAAATTTGTATACTTAGACATGCATTTATATACATATATTTATATGCGTACATGTTCATCCATTCATCCATACATACACACATTTATATACACACACACCACACCACATATACCACACATTCATATATATATATACACACACACACCTGCACACATTTGTTCACACACACACCTGCACACATTTGTTCACACACACACACACACACCTGCACACACACACACACACACACACACACACACACACACACACACACACACACACACACACACACACACACACACACACACACACATGCTCACATGCACACATGCACACATTTGTTTACACACACACATGCACACATTTGTGCTTGTGCACACATATGCACACATTTGTGCTTGTGCACACACACACGCACACATTTGTGCTTGTTCACACACACACGCACACATTTGTTCACACACACACGCACACATTTGTTCACAACACACGCACACATTTGTGTACACACACACACATGCACACATTTGTGCACACACACACACATGCACACATTTGTGCACACACACACACATGCACACATTTGTGCACACACACACACATGCACACATTTGTGCACATACACACACATGCACACATTTGTGCTTGTGCACACACATGCACACATTTGTGCTTGTGCACACACATGCACACATTTGTGCTTGTGCACACACATGCACACATTTGTGCTTGTGCACACACATGCACACATTTGTGCTTGTGCACACACATGCACACATTTGTGCTTGTGCACACACATGCACACATTTGTGCTTGTGCACACACACGCACACATTTGTGCTTGTGCACACACACGCACACATTTGTGCTTGTGCACACACACGCACACATTTGTGCTTGTGCACACACACGCACACATTTGTGCTTGTGCACACACACGCACACATTTTGTGCTTGTGCACACCACACGCACACAATTGTGCTTGTGCACACACACTGCACACATTTGTGCTTGTGCACAACACACATGCACACATTTGTGCTTGTGCACACGACACGCACACATTTGTGCTTGTGCACACAACACGCACACATTTGTGCTTGTGCACCCACCACATTGCTTCACACCCCACATTTGTGCTTGTGCACACACACACGCACACATTGTGCTTGTGCACACACACGCACACATTGTGCTTGTGCACACCACACGCACACATTTGTGCTTGTGCACACCACACGCACACATTTGTGCTTGTGCAACACACACGCACACATTTGTGCTTGTGCACACCACACGCACACATTTGTGCTTGTGCGCACACACGCACACATTTGTGCTTGTGCGCACACACGCACACATTTGTGCTTGTGCGCACACACGCACACATTTGTGCTTGTGCACACACACGCACACACGCACACATTTGTGCTTGTGCACACACACGCACACACGCACACATTTGTGCTTGTGCACACACACGCACACACGCACACATTTGTGCTTGTGCACACACACGCACACATTTGTGCTTGTGCACACACACGCACACATTTGTGCTTGTGCACACACGCACACATTTGTGCTTGTGCACACACATACAGATACAGACATATAGAATATGATCCACACAATCTGATAAATTTTCTTTCTAAGTAAAATTATAATAATAATAAAAGAATTATGTTAAATCTTTTATAAATTTTATGAAATTATTTTACATACAATTTTGAGTATTTTTGGCAGCCTTTAAAACTAAAAAGATTTTCTATTTTTTCATTTCATGTATTCATCTTTTTATAAATGTGGTCGTCAGTTGGTTAAAAGTTCGGGATCACAGTAGTCATTATGATTGAAAGCTTATAGCAGCATTCATAACTTTGTCCCATATTTAGTTCTGTATTCAGTGTTTGTATCACTTCAGGAATAGTTTTCTTTTTTTTTTTCTTTTTTTTTCATTTATTTATTTTTATTTATTTATTTTTTTTGTGTATTGTAGTTTCTTGCAGTTATGACCATTAAACAAAAAATAATTATTATGATAAGAAGATTCCAAAGTGCTGAATGGATTAGTAATTATACACCTTCTGTTCATATATTTTGTTAAGCTTAACGTCCCTTAATTAAAAGCCTTAAGATAAAACTCGGACAAAGCAATGCATATTTTTTTTTTTATGAATCGTGTGGCCCCATGATCTATCTTTTTTTTCGTTTTTTTCGTTTTTATTATTTTAGTATTGTTGCCCTAGCGTTCTTGGAGTGCATTATCCCAGTGTTCATATGAAATGTAATGGAATGTATTGTGATATTAACTATAGATGTTTTATATTATTGGGTGTTTGTTGCCCATTACTTCCAGTTAATGTTTTATATTATCCTGTCTGTACGATAATGTAACCGTTTATATATTCGGATTTTACTAATATTGGAAGTTCTTTCTTTTTTTTTCACTTAAAAAACTGAGAAAACTAGCCATTCCATTTTCATTGGTTTTAGAATTTTATATAACTTTTAAGAAAAATATACTTTTAGTTTTGCCTTCAGAGTTCTGCTGGAATGACCAATTTTCTCATGAGGAAACCCCCAAGTTCTAAAAGGAAGTTAATGTGTGCGTGTGCAGTTATTTTATGAAAGAATGAGAAACAGCATGTTTCTGGTGAATTTATTTATATTCAATTGGTCGATTTTGTTTGGTTTACAATAAAAAGATTATCCAGAAATGTCATGCATCTTTTACCTCTCAATATAAATGTAATCAAATGAAAGTCCTTGAATGCACAAATGGGAACCAATGGTGGATTCAAGGAGAGACCCCCATAGTGTAGCAAATTACACCCTTACAACAGAGTAATACACATTACATAAATAACCCCCTAATCCCTTATCTGTTGCTGTTATGTCTGGGGGAGGCATAGGCGGAGGAGACTGAGGCCCAGTGTAAGGGATCAGGTCCTACCTTGGACCTCAGCTCTCACCTCAACTAATTTTGCATGGCCTTTTCTTCCTCCTTTTCTTCCTAGCCTATCTAAATTTGACCTCTGGTTTCACAACCCTTACCTCTCATTTGATCACAGCCCTGACCATTGATATTAATATTCCTTTCTCGATGTTAGCTGTCAACTCTCTCCATTCAGAATCATTCACTCAGGTCATGACTCAACCTTCAGAATACACCCCTTCTCTCCTGTCATCATCCACTCCATCTACTGCAGTCTTCATTGTCTCCCCTCCTCCCTTATTTCTACTCTTCAACCTTTTTGTTCTCCCCACAGCAGTACCTCACTCGACACCACCCTCTCTCCTCCTACCCCTTTTCTTTCTACTGTTTCCACCTCTGCAAGCCTTTTCAGTACTCTTTTTAGCCCAGCCAAGTTGGATTATTTGATTTCTTTATACAACTCCATACTATGACAGTAGTATGGGGCTTCTAACATGGTCTCTAAAAACAATAAAGGTAAAGTAAGAATTTCAGTTCCGATCATTCACACCTTGTCACAGTTACATCCCAAACATGTGCACTATCTACCCTGACTTGACTTCACTTGATAACCTATTCCTGCCTAACCTCGCCCATCCTTTCGTACTTATACTGGAACTGTTTCCATCCTTCCAACTGATTGCCCTGTCTATGACAAGAACTGGTCAGACTGTGAAAACGACCTAATTGCCTGCCTTCCTGACTGTGATGCAGTGACAATAGTGTTTCACTATTCCTTGCAGAGGCCAGCATAAGTCCTCTACCGGTTTTGCTAGGATTAGCTTCTGTAGACATGGCCATGAAGTTTATAATGGAGTATTCTGCCTTGTCCGACCATATACCTTCCCCGTTAATGTCAGAAATGTTGGCGTTTTAGCCACCCAGCCAAACGCTCACTCTCATAATGTATTTTAGAGGAACTGCCCTGTCTACAAGCCCGAATCTGAGAGACGTTCTCAGATGCCAACAAGGTTTTCTCTACCTATTCCAGAGCTGTCATTTGTTCGGTTGCTGACCCATCTTCTCTAGCATCTCTTGCATGTACCATCCTACCTTTTCTCCCACTACCTCCCAGTCAGATTCCATTTCCAGTCTAAATTTAGATACTCTTAGGACTTCCTCGATGCCTATCCCTCTTCCTCCTCACTTTAAATGTTCCATCTTCTCCCAGATCCTCTCCAACACCCACTTCCTCTGCTCCCCGGACATTTATCCCTCATCTCCTCATAAGAAAATCTTTATTTCTCAGCCCTCCCCACCCAACTCCTCACCAGAAACTCTTGAAGACCTCAAAACTTCTTAAACATGACCCAAGCAAACGCTCCGCTGCCTCATCCACCCTCCAGTCTATCTATTCCTATTCCCTCTACATTCAGAATGAGTGTCGATATCCATCCTCCTCCTCAAGTTCCCCATACCCATTTTCCTCCCACACTCTCCCAACACACTCCATCCTCCCCTTTCCCAGTACCATTCTCCTCGTCTTTCCCCATTATCCTTACCACTCCCACCTGGATGCTCACGTGACACCCTCATGTCACAAGTGTCCTTTGGTTCCCTCCCCTCCTGACATTCTTCCTGATACTTCACCACCTTCCCCTGTTCCCTTATCTCATTCCCCGGTCTATTATCATCCCACTTCAACCACTCATATTTACCCTTATTACCCGATGATTATCTCGTAATGGTCTTGCAGTTTTCCTTCATCAATAAACCTTTGACCTTCCCATACAGCCTCATGTCTACAGTACTTTATACACATTAGACATACCCCTCCCCCTTTGAGGCAGACTGTGAAGCAAGCTTGTTCCAGTATCCTGAAAGTACTTGTAAGGAAAAATATTTTAATAAGTCTACCATTGACCGTTTCTTTACTGTACTGAGGAGGCGATGTATCATACAAACATTCGTATTTTCCAACAGTTTGTACAGATGTTATGTTGATGGTTCATCGTTTGGAAAATGAATGGTTGTGCAAGAGAGCCCTTGCTCCTGCAAGACCGAGCGTAGATACGCTCTCAACCAAAACCTCGCTCCCTGGTCGAGCTGTGTTGTTAAATGTGTTTGGCGGAATCTTTTCAGAAACTTCAAAACTACTCTGTATATGCCACTCATCCAAAGGTTATCCTTTTTATATCATATATGATTTTAACATTTGTGTTTTAACGTGGTAAAATTATTTTTGGATGCATAAACCCCATAAAAAATCTGACACTGTCCGAGGTG